AATGACATCAAAACTCGATATATCTAGCAACACAAAAGCAAACGAAAGTCGACGCCCGGCAACTTCTATTTCACAATCACGACAACCCCGGTCTAAATCAACTGTACCCCCAACAGGTGACTCTACTCTGAGTGGAGGCACTAACCGTGCTATCTTTAACCCCAATGCAGAAGCAAATGCAGTAGATATAAATGAATGAAACGTACCCGTGTCTATCAATACATTAGCCAAAGAATTACATACAACAAAAATGCCTCTCACAACTGAGGATTCTGGCAACTACTCTAGCACGGTAACAACATACACACGCCCCTGTGGCCCCTGATTAACTTGCTCCCCTCTCGAAGCATAGGCTTGTTGTACTGACTGAGCCGAAGTGGCTCCTTGATTAACTCCCAAAGCTTGGACTGATTAAGCCTGCTGGTGGCTAAGTCTGCCTCGACCCTGATGCGCTAGATGCGCCTTCCAACTATGGGTAAGGTCTCTTCATATACCCCAACTGACCACACTGATAACAATTAAACCCTTGACCTTTATTCTAAGACTGAGACTGACTTTGAGATCGGTTAGGTGGTGGTAACATTAACTGCCCTCCTCTCTTCTGTGGACATGAGAAAGATTTGTGACCCGCTTGGCCACACTTGAAACACAAGAAAACTACTCGATGCACTTTTTCCCAAACCCGCACTAGGCAAAGGAAAAGTGGATCTAGACTGCTGTGGTTGGGATTGGGATGGATAGGTGTTCTTGCTCTTCTTGTTTTGCCTATAGTCTCCTTGAGACTCTTGGCCCCTAGACCTCGAACTCCGAAGCCTCTCCTCCTCAGCTTGTATGGAAATTTCTACGTGTGTCGCCGTCTCCACAAGACGGTCATATTCCCAAATCATATTTTCGACAAGCTTGAACGTAATTTTTGTTTTCAATTTCTTTTCAAATTCAATGCAACGACGCTACCAACTCTGGTGCAAATCGGGACAAACTAGAGAAGGCCGCCTCAAACTCGGCCACGGGTATGTCAAGTTGTTTGAGGTCTTTAAACTCTTGCCTCAATCTCTCCCTAGCAGTGGGAGGTATGTACTTATCTTGAAAATCAACCGCAAAGGCTTCGCATGTCAGCTTCACTCTACCCTTGGCATATTTCCACCATTGACCCGCGTCTTCCTTAAGGTAGTAACTCGCTAGAGTCACTCTTAGTTCACTATCTTCGATGTGAAGCATCTCAAATGTCTTCACAGTTTGTTCGAGCCACTCATCCGCTTTCTTGGGCTCGGGACCACCATGGAACTTATCCGGTTTGGCCTGCAAGAACTCTCGAGTAAGGAAACTCACCCTTGACTCCACGGTGTTCTCTCGGTCTTGATTCTCTACCCTCAACAAGTTCGTAGACTCCCTTAAAGCCCCTGCCATTTCTCGAGCTAGGGCCCCCATTACGATTTGACCCGCTTGTCCCACCTGCTCGGCCACATTAGCTTGGCCTGCTTGCTCGGCCATATTAGCATGGCCGAACCCTTCTTCTTGCACCGGAACCCTATGGACCGGTACCTCATGCACACCTCGGCGAGCCCTACCATGCCTCACACCTCTACCACCACGGACTTGACCCTTTCTTGACATCCTAATAAAGGACATAAGAGAAATAATTTAGCATATTAACTCATATGTGCTCGTAACTTGACTCACACGTTCGACTACAACAATTCCATATATTTCTCTACCATATACACAATTCAATTTCACTCCACATAAACACTTAGTCATGTAAACACATATGGACTATTCTTTTACGATGAAATCCGTCCCACGAAAAACCAAGAATTCTTAGTAGAACGAGTATTGATCAAGTACCCTTCTAATGAGACCTCAAGGAATTTAACAGGTGCAAACAATATCCCAAAAGTCTAGTCCTGTATCCATTTAGTCACATAAGCATGTTATCACATAGTCACAAAATGCATAACACTTCCTAAGCATGCTAAATGAACCCATTGTGGTTAACAAACCACTTCCCACGAGCTCCAAGTGTTCAAACCCGATAGCTCTGATACCAAGTTGTAACACCCCAAATTTCTAGCCCAAATGATAATACAACAATCATGGCTCTTTCAAGTAAAATCAAATATAAATCTCTAAACTTACATTACATGATACAATAGTTCTTCATGCAACAATACATTAATCCAACAACAAGTAAATAAACAAGTAAATACCCCCAAGGGTTTACAAGTTTCCAAGGCTTGAGCCTGATTACACAAAACGGTTATTCAAACCCACACACATACAGCCCTTGGCTTACACACAGAGCCACAGCAAAATGACAATCTCGTACTCTCAACACACATTTCCTTGCCTTTAGTTAGGCGGCATCACCACTTCTTTTCCTGCACAAAAATCCCGTAGGGTGAGCATAAAAGCCCAATAGAAAATCCTTAATAAAGTATATATATTTTATATAAGTCTCAAGAGATAAAATGCACATGCTATGCTATGCTCTTTTGAAAGAAAATCACATCTTTATCTTTGAAAACCCTCATGCTCAATGATGTCATGTAATTTCAATTCTTCAAAACTTAACAATTCATTTCAAGAGCGGTAAATACGACTCTAGTAATTCCTAGGTCGGTGTCTGTAAGTAGACTATACAAGTACTACCAATTTGTCATTTTTATCGGTATTAACCGGGAGACTCGACACCTATCTGCACGGGTTTTCGGTCTTTCACCCTGGACTCTCAGGCCAACTTATTCAATATCATCTGCACTACCTATCAAGATTTACCAACGTATTTATCCCAAAACCATTCCATGAAAACTTGTTTCTCAATATTCTTTTCTCAATGCAAGTTTTCAAAATCAACTTTCAAAGTTTAATGTAATCAAATGAATTGATATGCCAATTTCACAAGATGAATATAAATACTTTTATTCCAATTCATCATCCAAGGAATAACACAATTCTCTTTTCTCAAGTATCCTCAACAATTAGTCATTTCAAGACTATTTTAACGTTTTGAACAATAATTTCCAAAATGAACAACAATTCTCATATTCCCTGAAATTCATCATTTATATAAATATAAATAAGAAAATTTTCAAACATCCATTTATTTTGACACACAAAATAAATATAACAATATCATTCATGGATTTTCAGTCTCTTTAAAAAAATTTCTAAATTCTAGGTTTTCTCACCAAAACTATGTAACTCAAATCTTTTGAAAGAAAACTTTTCAAAATCATATTTTCTTCAATCAACGAAGATCAAAACCTATAAAATCATTTTAAAAGAACAAGAGACAAACCCACTTTCAAAATCGCTCAACTTCTTGAATTAACAATCAATTTTCAAAGCTATCGAAGGATGATTTCAAAAATCATCTAGATCTTGCAAAAATATATATATATAACTCTAAGAAAATCCCTACCTCAAGTTTTGAAGAAGAAATGAGATGAAACCCCCAAAATCAACGGTGTCCAAACTCGATCTTCATCGCACACAACGAAGCCCTCGAGGAGCTAACCAATTTTGATGAAGAACATAGATCCAAATCCCAAAGGATTTGAAGAAATCAAAGATCTTGTGAGGTTTTTGGTAGGAAATGTAAAGAGAAGTGAGGGGAAATGTTTTTAGAGAGAGAGAGATATACAATAGTGATTCAACTTCAGCCCAAAAAGAGAAGAAAAGGGAAAAAAAATTGGATCTCACCAACCCACCGCACCTCACTCCTCGCACCTGCCTTTTTAGCAGTGTGCAAGCTACTCTCCCCTGAAACCCGCACGTGCGGCTTGCTCTCCCGCTCGAGCGAACAAGCAACTTCGAATGCATTTTGCATTTTTGTTTTGGGGGCGCTGCCCCTCAACCTTGCCAAGGCGCTGCCCCCTGGACCCCTCCGAGCTGACCAGGCAGCTCGACCCCTGACATACTCAGCGAAGTGGCAAAACTGGGATCGCTACAGATAAAATGGTTTAGGCCATTGTGTATAACAACTCATGCGTAGTTGAAATTCTTGAACTAGTGGGGCAAAGACCTCAGCTAGCGAAGCGATCTTAGTGGAGATGTTAAAAAAAAGAAAAAAAAAAAAAAAGAAACTTGATTCTTGACTTTTGCTGAAATGGGTACTTGAGTATCTCTAGCATGTTGTTTAGCCGACATGTTAGAAGATGAAATGATGTAGGTTCCATTACCTCAGGTTGGCGAGGTAATAGAACCTAGGGGCAGTTGTGGGGAGGTATTTTAGGAATGGCGCCACGTAGCTGAGGCGCTATCGAGATGTCGGCCGAGGTACCACGTGGGCAAGCTTGCTGAGGTGGTTACGGTGTTGCCGAGATATGGTGTGGCAAATTGGAATCTGAGATATCTGAATAGAGGACAAGAGTCCTAAATGAGAAGAGGCACTTAGTTCGAATAAGGATAAGGCACATGGGAGGTTTATCCATATCTAACTAAGAGTTTGAAATAAGCATTGTGCTTGAGTCCTATGAAGTGAAACTTCTAAGGGACAAGGGTACTAGAGGCTATAAAAGATAGACACCCCCGTGGGTTGAAGGTATGCTTTATTTTGTGAGTTTAGTACTTGTTTGATATCTTGAGAGATAAGATTGATTGATTTGATCATTGAAGTGTCCCCGGATGGACGAGCCACCGTGGTATTCTCATTTTTTTGTTAGCAAGTGGTTGACTTAATCTATTTTGCCGCGTATTCTTCAGCTAAGTTCCATATTTGGTTGTGAGGTCGGAAATCAATACCCACGAGACCTTTCTACTCAACTGACCATCATCTATTCCTCTTCATTATTGATATATATATATATATATATTTGGTTATTGAGAACACATTATTGATGATAGTGAGAATTTTTTAAGGAATTATATATATATAATGATATAGTTTAATGAGCACTTTTTATTTTAAAACAAAATATCATGAAGATTATTTTTATTTATAACAATATCAGCATCACATTATTTTTATAGTACTCTTTTTTGTATAAATTTTATGTATAAATAGAATTGTCTTTAAAAAAGACAAACACCACATTTTAATTGCTGAACTGTCTCATGCTATGATTTAATTTTTATGTAACATCGCCTACTTGCTTTTGTTCTTTTATATAATAGTTATAGAAAAATGAAAGGAGACTCTGTTTGTTTGCTAGCTTAATGGCTTCTCTAAAAATTTTGTGCTACAATCGAAAGCGGTGGCTCGGTGCTGGCAGTTGACAGACTACATGTCAGTGAACCGTTAATGAAGCTAACCCAGGGCTTCCATTTGTGCTCTGGAAAGCTTCCGTTTTGGCGGTGAATATATATGTATACACACTGGTATCCTATGCTTACAGTTTGGAATTCATTTCCTAGATACTCCTAGCAGTGGCTCATGAATTCGTTTTCAATCATTCGCGTGCGAAACCCCTCTTCCATCAATTGTGACAGAGCTTCTATTCAGGGGAAAACCTTTTGATTTATCTTTCTCCCTCTGGTATGTACTTCGTTTGTTCCTTTTTCTTTAGTAAGGTTTTGGAGAGAGTGATTCTTAATTTCGTTGACCCAATCAATGGAAGCATGCCAGGTATTCGCTAAAATTCCTATAAGAACGTTCGTTGTGTTTTTTCTTTTCTTTTTTACCCTTGACTGTTTACTTTGTTTTCGGTAGAAGCTATTTGCTACCTTATTTCAAACATGCCTTGATGAAATGCTATATTTCTTTTGGATCTTTTTTTGATATATTAGTGTGGTACTCATCATGTACTCTCATGTTCAAATATATATATATATATATATTGCTGATGAAAACAAAAAAAATTATTTCTCAGTTATAAAAGTTATTACATAGGTGTTTCTTTGATACACACCATTGCTTTTGTTTGTGGCATGTGTTGAGAAAAATTCCTGAAAATCTAAGTCATGTAGCGAACAGGTCTGAAAATTTTATGTTGAAATTTAACAAATGCATTTACCAATCTTGGACAAATGATGAGTTTGAAAAGAAATGGTGGAAAATGGTTGATAAATTTGAGCTCAGGAATGATGAATAGCTTCAATCACTCTATCGAAGTTGTAAGAAGTGGGTTCCTGCTTGTATGAGTGGTACCTTTTTAGCTGGAATGTTTGTGTGCTACTGAGCGATTTGAGTATGTATTGTCTTGTCTTTGTTGAATAAATACATACACAAGGAGTCTACGTTTAAGAAGTTTATTGATGAGTACAAAGTTTTTTTGCATGATAGGTGTGAAGAGGAAGCCAGAGCTGATTTTGAAACACATCACAAACTGTCTCTGTTAAAATCTCTATGTCCTTTTGAGAAACAGCTGTCAACAGTTTATACACATGCAATATTCAAGAAATTTCAGGTTGAGGATTTTGGAAATAGTTGCTTGTAGTCTGTGAAAGGAATGTGATGCTTTCTTCTTGCAACTCTTTGTATGATTCTTTTTTTTATTTTATTTTTTCAAATCTTCATTTCTAATTTGCTTCATTTGGTGCTGTTAGGTTATTGTTGGATGCTACATGGGTTATGTTGAAAGTTGAAGTATTAAGAGTTTATTGTTGATTTTCTTTTAGGTAGTATTTTCATTTTCGTAATTGTCTATTTGTTTTTTCACTTCTTGGTTCTACTAGCAATCTAATATTTGTAATTTGCAATTTGATTCTTGGTTCTTTGAATAGCGATAGGAACCAGACCTTGGTAGATTCGATAATATTAGTACATATAAACAAAAGGGAACAAAAAATTAACACTACTAAAAATTGGACTTTTTGCGACGGTCTCAAATGTCACAAAAGATCCACATATCGTCGCAATTGCGACGGAGTAGCGACAGGAAATGGGGGGTGGCAGAAAGGGGCATGACAAAAGGTATTTACGACGGTTACAAACCATTGCTTCCTTGTAGCGATGGTAAATCAATGGTTTTTTCAACGGTTTAACCTGACACAAAAAAAAGAGAAAAAAAATATCACTTTTAGCGACGGTTTAGGATGTCGTCACCAAAAACTTTTTAGAGACGGTAATTGACGTCGCAAAAAGTATTATTAGCGACGGTCTTAAACGTCGCAAAAAAAGAATTAAATCAATAATGTATTCGCGACAATTTAAACCATCGCTAAAGATGGCACTTATGTGTATATGCAATAGGTTAACCTGTCGCAGATAAAATGCAAGGAAATGATGATTACAATAGCAACGGTTTATTATTGTCACAAAATAATTATTTTTATAAAATAAATATATATTTTATTAATTCATTCCCTGTACAAATTATTAATATTCTCTAAAATAAAATACATTCACATCCACATCCGCACATATCCACATTCACAAAATCATATATACAAATAATAATATATATGTACCATGTAACAATACAATGTCAACCAAACATTCCTTACAAGAATATATAAAACATCCTTCAACAATATTAATAATTTTTGATAATTCAAGAACTCAAATTTGTATCTAAAACAAAACAAAAGTATCAACAGTACAAATAAAAAAACCTATATATTATATTTTGTTTTAGTATCAACAGTAAGCTCCAATATCGATATGCAAAGATATCATCACGTATTCAAAAAGGTAGCATCTGCAAAAATAATAATAATATATATATATTATTTACAATATAATTAATTTGAAGCTTAAAAAAATTATAAAACAGCAGAAGTAGCAGAAGGAATTGAATCAGGGTAATTTCCTTATTTAAAAGGTCCATCATGATCCAATGAAGCATTGCTTACTTCTCTAGAATCAAGTTCAAGGTCGACAATGAATTGTTCTAACTTTTCAAGGAGTTTTTCTTTCAAGCTGTCAACCTATCAATACATGGCCAAACTGTCATGGTGTATGCATCAATACATCAGTCACAAGCATGGTTGTTTAATCTTTCTAAATATAATTGCATTCCAAATAATTTGAGTGAACAAAAGAATTCTAATATTTAGCCCACAAACCCTAAAATTTGTAGGAAATAAAGTTTCCAACTTAATAATATGTAGAATTATCTTTTTCACTTTTAATATTTGGCAATATTTATTAAGGCTATTTCGTAATACAATAATGGACAAAATGACTAGATTCCTTAAAAGAATAAAACATGTAAAGCAAGTAATAAATAAGTTTGACAAAACTTAAAAATAGTTTTAACACAAATGGGGAAATCCAATTGCTTAAGAAGCATTGTAACCTCAGCTCTCAACTGTATAGATTCAGAAATCCAATGACTAGATTCATTTTTATTTTTCCTGATAACATAATCATTAATTAATCAATAGTTTTGTTTTTTCAAGCCCCAAATGCCCTTTTTGACTAAGTTTACACTTTTTCAACTCTAACTCACAAACGCTTTTTCAATCATTAGTTTTGTTAGCATCAGTTTTGCTGTCTATAACAGTTAGAGCCTTCGTGGCAGCAGAATCTAACCTCATGTAGCTGTGAAGATTGTACTGTCGAATACTATAACTTCCATAATTTCTCTCCTCAGCAAGTAGTTCTACAGAAGATAGCAATGAACCCAAAGCCCCAAGTGCAAATTCAAACCCAGATACAAAATCTCTAACTGGTTCTATAGAACCTTTGACAAGCCTACCAAGATCCTGCACCAAATCCCTTCCTTTAAACTCAGTTTTCTTTCTCTCTGTTACCATCACGCCATATCTTGACGATGCGTCATGTAAAGGTTTATATGCATCATGACAAATAGGAAACCATATGAAGTACATAACCAATAATAATGTTTATGAAAGTAGAATTTCTTAAATTCTTGAACAGGATAGAGCATTAAAAATTGAAAGAAAACAGAGCTTTCAATTTTAATTGACATGGAGCTGCAAATGCAATTTCTGGCCTGATAAGTTGTTGTATAGCACTTGTATAGGAAATACCTGAAGACTCGCAATTACGAACTTTCCCCAACCACGGAGTGATTTTAGAGGCAAATTGCATGCAGGAGTTATCTGCAAACTGCAAGAGTAGCTGCTCTCATGATCATTGAATGACAAAAAAGAAGGATAATACACAATACACAACACAACTGTTTGCCAAGGAGCTAAGGAAGAAAAGAGAGAGAAGAAAGAGAGAGATCGTATTATCAAGTCATAGGTAACCTACTAAATCTTGGGGATGGGCTTTAGAAGGAGTCTTTACTTTTTGGTTCATTTGTAGAATTCTTATATACTATGGCATCTTTCTTTAATATGCGTACTTCAAAAAGAATTTTTAAAAAGTAGATATTGAAATTACCTTGTCCCCAAGCATAACACAGCATCAGCCACTTTGCAGTGTTTCTCTGCTGGATTCAACTCCTTTGGTGGTAAAGCATCCTGGAGAGAGAGATGGATAGATTATTAACATACCACTTTGCATCAAATTGCTCATATATAGGCAATAAAGTTTGAGAACTAAATTAACATCTTACAAAGAAGGCAGCGAAGAAACATAAAAACATATTTCACAGTGGTTGAACCAATCTCAAAAAGTATCTAAGAAACCTTCCCCATGTCATGAGGATACTCAAGAATGATTTTTAAAAAGTAGTTATTGAAATTACCTTGTCCCCAAGCATAACACAGCATCAGCCACTTTGTAGTGTTTCTCTGCTGGATTCAACTCCTTTGGTGGTAAAGCATCCTGGAGAGAGAGAGAGAGAGAGAGAGAGAGAGAGATGGATAGATTATTAACATACCACTTTGCATCAAATTGCTCATATATAGGCAATAAAATTTGAGAACTAAATTAACTTCTTACAAAGAAGGCAGCGAAGAAACATAAAAACATATTTCACAGTGGTTGAACCAATCTCAAAAAGTATCTAAGAAACCTTCCCCATGTCACGAGGATACTCAAGAATGCCCCTTTTCTGAGGATTACATGGAAATAGAATTACTCCATGTCGTTTTCCAAAAAAATTGATGGCACTCCTTTCAATTGCTATTAAAGCCAAAAGAGATACATTTGAGTGTTATGAGCACTACAATTAATTAACTTCATAGCCCCCCCCCCCCCCCCCAAAAAAAAAATAAATAAATAAATAAAATAAAATAAAATAAAAGAAAAAAAGAACAAACAAACAAACAAACAAAATGTATTTATTTATCAATAGCCTCAACAGTAATGCAACCAATCAACACAAGAAATTAGTACCTCCCAGTCAACAGCAGTGTCTTTAAGTCTTGCACCACAACCATCACTGGAACAACTACGTGGTGTCTCCTTCAGTCCAATAGTTTCCACCTCAAAATCCCAAAAATACCTTCACAAAAAATCAAATTTATAAGAACAACTTTTAATAGCAGAAAACTGAGAAAACTATGTAATAATCTAATATGTACCAGTAAACACCACTAGATGCTTACTCTGCCATAACACCAAAGAAGGAGATGAAATTTTTGTTTAGAAGACAATCAAACAAAAGTCTATATGCCAAAAAGGAGATGAGTGAGTTAAGTTTAAACCTTCTGTATCATTATGGCAAGTTTTTCAATCTGCAATTGCAAAAAGAAAAACCCAATGAGGGAAGCAAAATCAGCACATGTATGGCAAACTCTTAAATTATCAGTTTTCCAAACGTAATAATCCTCAGAAAGCCCAAAGTAGAGAAAATATCATGTTGTATACTCAAATAACTAGAGGATAGTAAGCAAAGCAATAGTGATTGTCTTCCAAAAAAATAAAAATTTGTATTTCTCCTCCTAAGATATAAAATTCAAATTGACATGAACTATGACTGAAACACAAAGAGAGAACAACATAATGTAGAATGAAATAAAAAGAAACGAACAGAAGGAAAAGAAACCATTTCCTTCACTCCTATCACAGTCAAATCTATAATCATAGTCCTCTGATGGTTATATCTCCCAATCTTGTAACCCCAAGGCAAGTGGCCGAATGGTAAAATCTGGAGGATAAAATCCACAGGTCTCGAGTTCGAGTCACCCCTTGGGGCTACTGGAGGTTTGCCCGGTCGTTAACTTCAGGGCCCTCAGGATTAGTCCTGGCTTCCCTTAAAATCAGCGGGTTGGGGATACCTGAGTTATCAAAAAAAATAAATAAAAATCTCCAAATCTTGCAATATTGTTTCCCCTAAAAGAATATCAAAGTGACTCTCCATAGGAAAAGTTTCTTTGAAATTAACCAATTGTTCATATATCACAAATGTTGTGTTTGATGGCACTTGGCAATTCCCTAGTTGAAGAGATTAAACGTGCACCTAAATAATCTCTAGAGCAGTTTATAAACTGCTAGCAAACTCATACTCCATTTGAACTAGAACCATAAATTATGTAACACAAGTCACAACACGGATCAAACTGTACACTAAACAGGAAGTAGTATAGAGACTAAATGGCCTGACCCAAAATATAGTGTAAGCTTATATAGCTGACATGTGTCTCTTAATTGATAGTTAATATGTGACAATGTATATTCAAAAGTAACAATACAAGACTGAATTTCTTTTCAATAATAAAACATATATGTACTGGTTCTGGTACTCATTATATTTCATACTACCCTGACAAAAAGGGCAAACATAAGTTAAAAACCTGGGATAATCTTTTCAAGTAGTCAATTTAGTGTATTTGCAAGAAAAGTGGACGACATTGATTCTAACCATGGATCAGTATGGTCTAGTAAATTTTGATAATACTAACCAATTATAACTACTTTAAGCAATTCTATTAAAGGATATAGACACATGAAGCCTCTGAAATTTGGGAATAGGAGGCATAAGGCCAAATAACAACTTCACTAATGCTGTGTTTGGTTGGGGGATTTGAGAAGGGATTTGGAAAGGGAAATGGAAAAGGTAAGTGAAATATGAATAAAATATACTTCCATTTCACCTAGTTTCACACATCTTTTCCCTTTCTCTTTCCAAATCCCTCTCCAAATCTCCCAACCAAATACAGCGTAAAGGAGATTTCAAGAACAATGTTTTCTTTCATATCAAATGTAGCAATAGATTCATTGGAATGAAAACATTGGTCATAACTCGATATCAAGAAAAGAGTTGAATATACTAAACCAAACTAAACTAAGCCTTGTGTCACAATCAAGTGGGGTCGACTATATCAATCAATTTTGCCATTATGCTTGGTCATGCTTCAATAGAAGAAAAAAAAAAGTTGAATGGAATAGTTAAGAAAAATTTAATTCACTAATTTGGGGACTAAAAAGCACAAACACTTCTAAGAAGGAAATATATATAATAAATAAATAAATATATATAATTATATATTGTGCACGTTGTAAGAATCCTGAAAACTTTTCTGTATATTCAATTGTATTCAAGATTACAATCAGACCTTAGATTATATAACCCTAAATCCTAAACCAAAAAGGAAAATACAAATACAATTATAATTATGTCTCTAACAGGATTCTAACACAATCATGCCTCTAATAGGACTCTAATTTGTAAAACACAGAATAATAAACACAGGATAATATATTCTATATTCTCACACCCCCGCTCAAACTCAAGGTGTTTTAGCAGAAAACAATAAGAGTTTGCTAAGAAGAAACTGAAACCGAGCGGTAGTGTGAGTCTTGGTGAAGAAGTCCGCAAGTTGCAAAGTCGAAGGGATGAAAGGAAGTGAGATAGAGGCAGACTGCAGATGTTGGCGAACAAAGTGACAATCAATCTCAATATGTTTCGTCCGTTCATGAAAGACAGTATTATGGGCAATCTGAACAGCACTGCGATTGTCACAATAGAGAGAGGTCGGAGAAGACTGAGAGACACCTAAATCAGACAAGAGACAACGAAGCCAAACAATCTCAGCAGTAGCATGAGCCATTGCACGATACTCAGCTTCGGCAGTAGAGCGAGCAACAACGGATTGTTTCTTACTTTTCCAAGAGATCAAGGAGTCTCCAAGAAACATACAGAAACCAGATGTAGACTTACGATCAGTAACATCACCGGCCCAATCAGAGTCAGCATAAGCCACCAAGTCCAAAGAGGAAGTAGAGGATAACAATAAGCCCTGGAAGATGGTACCCCTGAGGTAGCGAAGAATGCGAACCAAAGTAGCCCAATGGGTAGAGCGAGGAGCAGAAACGAACTGACTAACCACATGAACAGCATAAGTAAGATCAGGGCGAGTGACAGTCAAATAAACTAAACAACCCACAAGCTCACGATATAAAGTGGGATCATCCAGAGGGACACCATCAGTAGAGTTAAGCTTCACATTAAGCTCAAGAGGTGTATCAGAACCCTTAGTATCAGTAAGACCAGCACGATGAATGACTTCATTAGCATACTTAGCCTGAGACAGAAAATAGCCCTTGGGAGAAGAAACAACCTCAATACCCAGAAAATACCGTAATGGACCCAGATCCTTCATTTCGAAGGTACGAAAAGTGACGAAAAGGATGCCTGCTTTGACCGCAGAGATAGCAGAAGAGTCTACCAGTGATAATCATATCATCCACACTGGCAAGAGAGCAACAAAACAACCGAGGTTATTGTCGCAGAAATAAAGCAGAGTCGGAATGCTAGTAAGTATGAAACCCAAGCTCGGTAAAGCATGTCTGAAATCATTCAATACAATCACGGAGGAGACGTTGCTTCATGACCATTACAGACTACGCCGAAGACGACAAACCTGACCAGGGGATGGTGGAAGCCGGCGGGGGAGGCCGCATGTTAACCTCCATCAGTGAGATGCGCATTAGAAAGCATTCTAACATCCATTTGATAAAGAGGGCCAAGACGAACAGGCAGCAAGCAGAGATCAAAGTACGAACAGTAGTCATTTTGCAACACGACCTCCCTCATATCAACTTACCTCATACTCCCTTACGAGAAACCTTGGCAACCGAGACGAGCTTGGTATACCCGCCATCACAGAGGGACTGACAGCTCAATAATTGAGTCGTTGAGCTTTGTAGACCCCATTGCAACCAACCAGGTTTTTATCAGGTAGGCATAATAGGAAACCCCAACTCCCAAGTACCAGTTTTTCTGATACAAGCAGACAACTCAAGCCTCCTGGATCCCCGCCAAGGTGAGGATTCTGACAGGACTCCCTGTCAACGACCCATGAGTCACACGGTTCTTACAAAGAATTAGTTGGCCGAAATTATGCAGTCAAAGAAACACAAGTTCTATAACACAATCACCGCTGGATATGAGTTGGCCTCGAAGCGC